CAGGATAGAATTTCAGGGGTTAAAGATTATGGTTTAATAAGTGTCCACACTGTAGATTAGCTTACAGTGCCTTGCGAAAGTATTCGGCCCCCTTGAACTTTGCGACCTTTTGCCACATTTCAGGCTTCAAACATAAAGATATAAAACTGTAATTTTTTGTGAAGAATCAACAACAAGTGGGACACAATCATGAAGTGGAACGAAATTTATTGGATATGTCAAACTTTTTTAACAAATAAAAAAACTGAAAAATTGGGCGTGCAAAATTATTCAACCCCCTTAAGTTAATACGTTGTAGCGCCACCTTTTGCTGCGATTACAGCTGTAAGTCACTTGGGGTATGTCTCTATCAGTTTTGCACATCGAGAGACTGAAATTTTTGCCCATGCCTCCTTGCAAAACAGCTCGAGCTCAGTGAGGTTGGATGGAGAGCGTTTGTGAACAGCAGTTTTCCACAGATTCTCGATTGGATTCAGGTCTGGACTTTGACTTGGCCATTCTAACACCTAGATATGTTTATTTGTGAACCATTCCATTGTAGATTTTGCTTTATGTTTTGGATCATTGTCTTGTTGGAAGACAAATCTCCGTCCCAGTCTCAGGTCTTTTGCAGACTCCATCAGGTTTCCTTCCAGAATGGTCCTGTATTTGGCTCCATCCATCTTCCCATCAAGTTTAACCATCTTCCCTGTCCCTGCTGAAGAAAAGCAGGCCCAAACAATGATGCTGCCACCACCATGTTTGACAGTGGGGATGGTGTGTTCAGGGTGATGAGCTGTGTTGCTTTTACGCCAAACATAACGTTTTGCATTGTTGCCAAAAAGTTCGATTTTGGTTTCATCTGACCAGAGCACCTTCTTCCACATGTTTGGTGTGTCTCCCAGGTGGCTTGTGGCAAACTTTAAACGACACTTTTTATGGATATCTTTAAGAAATGGCTTTCTTCTTGCCACTCTTCCATAAAGGCCAGATTTGTGCAGTATACGACTGATTGTTGTCCTATGGACAGAGTCTCCCACCTCAGCTGTAGATCTCTGCAGTTCATCCAGAGTGATCATGGGCCTCTTGGCTGCATCTCTGATCAGTCTTCTCCTTGTATGAGCTGAAAGTTTAGAGGGACGGCCAGGTCTTGGTAGATTTGCAGTGGTCTGATACTCCTTCCATTTCAATATTATCGCTTGCACAGTGCTCCTTGGGATGTTTAAAGCTTGGGAAATCTTTTTGTATCCAAATCCGGCTTTAAACTTCTCCACAACAGTATCTCGGACCTGCCTGGTGTGTTCCTTGTTCTTCATGATGCTCTCTGCGCTTTAAACAGACCTCTGAGACTATCACAGTGCAGGTGCATTTATACGGAGACTTGATTACACACAGGTGGATTCTATTTATCATCATTAGTCATTTAGGTCAACATTGGATCATTCAGAGATCCTCACTGAACTTCTGGAGAGAGTTTGCTGCACTGAAAGTAAAGGGGCTGAATAATTTTGCACGCCCAATTATTCAGTTTTTTATTTGTTAAAAAAGTTTGAAATATCCAATAAATTTCATTCCACTTCATGATTGTTTGCATGTGGGTGTGGAGTAAATGACGTGATAAAAACAAGTGTAGAATGGCACAAAAGGTGTTTCTTTATGAACTACAGTTAAGCAAACATTTAAGAGGTAACAGGCAAACAGCATAATAACAGTGTGTAATTGACATAACTCCTGTGGTTGTTACTCTGAGGATTTACTTTTCTTTGTCAGTGAAGCATTTTTATCATCATATTTGTCATATTTAAAGAATATGGTAAGGTTGATAAATACAACTAAACAAAAAAAGAGGATGTAGATGCAGGCACCTACAGTAACATCATCATTTATGAAAAAAATATATTTCCTTTGCCTTCTGCCACATTATTTATTTACTTGGATTTCCATTACCTGAGTCTCTATCTTTACATCAACTTCTGCAACTCAGTCTAAAATTAGCATATTTTTTACTGTGCCTACAAGTTTATTTTTAATTTCTTGTACTCCCATTTACAGTATGTAAAATCAAAATAAACAGTTGTATATTGAGAATATTCTGCTGTAGTGCAGGTGTTTGCAGGTACACATTATGTTGTGTTCATCCGTTCTGCTCTCACCCGTTCTCCCCCCTCTCTTTGTCCCTTTCCTGCTAACCAAGGCTCTAGACCTTCACAGTCTTCACAGCTCCACTCCATCTTCTCCCAGCTCTTTCTCCCAACACTCCCTCCATCATTCTCCTTCTGCCTTCCTCGATCAGTCACTCCTGCACTCTGTCATCCCTTTTCCCCATCATTTACAATTGCTTCCCTAACTCTCTGCTAGAGCTTCCTATTTTACCTTCTTCTACTGCCCTGCAGAGTAGAGACAGTCTACTGATAAATGCACAATTTCCCTGTCATCTCTCAAAGTGTCATCTCCTTCTCTACCTCTACAATTTCCACTCTGTCAGCTTTGACTCTGTCTATGGGCCCGCCTCAAAACTTTCACTACCTTTTCTTTGCTTTTTCACAATTTTCCTTCAATAAAATGTACACAGATCTATCAGCGACATTCTTAGTGTCTACAGGATGATCGGGTTCAGTAAGTCCCTGTGTTACTGTGGCATGTAGAATGATCCCATTCAGACTATGGAAACATCTCAATAACTAGCTTATCAAAATGTCCACACAATTTCTCTATTGTACAACTACACCCCTTGACCCCAGACTCATTTATTGACTAGCTCCTCTGGAAGCCATCTGTGTCTACATGCCTCTGTGTGTGTGCATACTATACAGAATGGAGGAAACTCAATCTGGTGTGGGGTGACAAAGCAGACCCTGCACCGCTCCTTATACATCAAGCATTCAGCTCTATATCTATACACATACAATACGAGCTAGGAAAGCCAGCATGCAATGAGAGGATATTGAAAATGATTTTTTCCCTTCTTGTCTCTTTCATTAACAGTGTTGAAAAGCCAGGAGTCTGCTCTCTCTCTCACTCCCTCTGGCTTATACACACAAATACACACACGTTAAAAAACACACACACAGAGCTCTCCAGTTCACTGGGGAACGTGCCTGACATGGTTTGCTTCAGCTGGTCTTCTTGACAACGCCACATTACAGTCGAAAGAAGGAGAAACTTGGCATACAATCAAACTTCTCTCATGATTTCTAAGATTTGAAATACTTCAGTTTGAGTAGCCCCTTCCATTCCCCCCCCCACTCTCATTCTCTCTTTTTCCGTCTCATTTTTTTCCTCGCTTTCACTCTAACTCCCCCTCACTCTCTCTTGTTACCTCTTTCTTTGCCCTATCTTTCCTGTTGAGTTTTCCCTGTTCTAACTTGGACCAGAGCTGTGCTGTGGGAATAAGACCCCTTTTAAGGCACAAAGCCAAAGCTTGTGTAAGTATGTGCATGTCTGCAGACGTGAGTGATTATATGCAAATTCCACTGAGGTTGTGTGTATATTCTACATGCATATCTTTGTGGCTTGTTGAGATGTAACCCAGCCTCATGAAGCTTTGCCCCTTGCAGATCAACAGTTCTTTAATCCTTATCATCAGTGACCCTAAACCCCCAGCCTCTGACCTCTTCATACACACAGACGCACACAGAATCCAATGCAAGAGACCACACACACTCATGCCGCCTGTGCCCCCATGATTAGCTCTTACCAGTGTAGACTTATATCCATTCAAACTCCTGAACAGCCAATTTGGTGTTGCTTATGTCAACCAACCATCACACTATCCTTCTTCCTCAGACATCTTTCTAATAGTAATACAATCATGATTTAAGCCTAGTGCCAGTAAAATACAGAAGTACCATTCACATGCCTTAAATTTGCATATACAGTATCTAGAGGCATGGATTGTGTCTGTATTGTATGTAATAGATTTCTTCAGCTAAACAACACTGCTGATGTTTTGATGGTGAAAATTGAAACAGATAGGAAGATGGTGTGTATCACAATTATGTGTGCATGTGTGTGCAGATACGTGAGAAAAGGTAAACCGTACACATACTGTAGGCACACAGAGTCACGTACTGTACATATTATTTCACAATTAGTGTGATCAGAGGGGCTCGTGAGGTGTAGTGAACTACAAGTCATGGCGTCAACACATATGTGCCAGCCTTTCCTTGTGTAATGTACTGAGTGACTGACATTAAAGGCATTTCCCTGCAGCACATGACAACCAGATATGTGGCTCCATGCTCCTTCAATCAGAGCGCTCAAAGCAAACACACATGTAGCCGATCCACTGACAGATTTGGAACTCCGTCACACATTCTGACACACACTCACACATGGCAACGCAGCCAGTCCTGCACAGTTCTTCTTTGTTTTTGTTTCCTTCTCCTCTAACTCTCTATCTGTCACACACACATTCATATGAAAAAACAGCCGCATGCATATCTTTCTGACCTACTGTCTAAGGCTGCGCACCCTCCTCAATAAATGCAGCTTTTCACAAGGCAGCTAATAGACAACAGCTGATCCAGCTTCAAAATGCAACTCAGCACTGATGTCTATAACACGTATGCACAGCTTCACATGTGAACAGGTGAGAAGATAAATGTGCCAAATGCAGTATTAGACAAAGATTTCTCCTGCAGCATAGAAGCTGCTGTGATGGGTAATGAAAATATCTATAATGTTCCTTGATCACATAAAACTTTTATGAGCTGGGTGTGTATTCATTGCTCCAAACTACTTCAAACGTTCTGACTGAACGTATTACTGCTGTCACCAGATCTATAAATCTAAATGCAGCTTAATTAATTAACATGGTTGAGTTTGCTAAGTTGACATTTTTCTTTTACTCGTTAAAGAAATGCAGAGCCGTGAATGCACAAGATATAGCATTTGCACATAAAGTGTGTGCTTTTTATTTTCTGTGAAAGAAGAAAAATATCTAGGTAGGGCAGGTTAACGGTTGATAGATATATGGACAGCTAAGATATAAATACTGAACAGTATGTTCAGAGACTAACTTCATCTCCAGAATCTCCTCCAGCTGTTTTCGTCTCTCCTGGTGCAGACTGTTGAGGTGCCCATCTCGCTCGTGCAGGGCCTGCTGAGTGGAGGACAGACGGAGTTTGGTGGCATCCAGCTCTTGGCGTGTTTTCTCCAAAGCTCCCATCAGCTCCTCCAACTATTCAAAGGCCGACATACACACACACAGGTTAGAACATACCAGGATACCCATGCACATGTCTCTGTTCTCAAATGTAAGAAGTGTTGATTAAATCATATAACATGCTGTGTAAAAATCAAGATACAGTACAAGATCTATTTAAGCATGCGCAGTCTCATATATACATACATGGAAATACACACTTATGTGTAATTCTATGTCTATATGATGTATACTTGAGAGGGTGTGTGTGTTGGAATGCTACTGTAAAATCATGTGAAATGATACAATCTTAAACTGAATGGCAGTAGACAACAAGATGCAGGTTAGTTAAATGGTATGTCCACTGATGCGTTCGCTGGAAACATGGGTCCACCTTTATCCAGTTATTTTATCTTACTCTCAAGTGTGGTCCTGCTTTAGACCAGGTGAGAATAATGCTCAACCCCTAATTTACACCTCCTCCCTCTGCACACACATGCCCTCCAGACACGCAGGCCTGCCTGTCCAACCTGAGCATCTGACAGACGGGATGTGACCTCAGGGCACCATTATCCTAAGACAGGAAGTGTCTAATTGTCTAACAACAAGTACTTCACATTAGCATCCACTACTTGGCAGGCCTGTATAGATTATATATGGGAGTTCACAAGAATATGAATTTATCTTTGTTCAGTTCTAATGATTTGCAGATTTGTGATACAAGATGTTCAAACAATAATTTTGAAGTGTTGAATCTCAAATGAACAAATGGAGAGAAAGTTAAAAAAAAATGTAAAGACAAGACATATTGTGGAGAGCACTCCATGGGGTAGGGTATGAAAAAAGGAATGGGCCTCTTTTATGAACGGGGCAAATCGTTCGCACATTTTCAAGACACTCTCCACCTCCCTCGGTTGTCTAGGGGTGTTTCACAGATGTCAGATAATGTGTTCACTGAACACATATCACACATGGAGCAAGAGAAGAAAGGAGAAAGGGTGAAAGCAAAGCACATGGGGAATATACACATTTGAAATGATGGGAAAAGGACAACTCTCAGTCATATTTTCCTGGAAATGTAACAAAGCATTGTTTTAAATAAAATACACTCTCTATCCCTGCTGTCAACTATTGACCTCGTCAGTATCCAAGCAGCTAATACACCCAAAATCAGCCAGCAAGACATCGAAATGTCACACCACACTTAATGTTTGATGTCTTTTTTCAGGTTTAAAATAACCCCAAGCCAGTTTTTTCATCTTGAAAGTCAAGGGTCACACACTCAAACACCTCCATTTATGTCCACATATCTATCAGCTCTTCTGCACCCTCTTCATCTTAACTGCCCCACTCACAGTCCCCATTAATCCACCACCCAGGCTGGCCCTTACTTCACAACCACATCATTAATAATGAATACAATGCTTTTCAGTGAAATTAGGGACCTAATCAGCTTAGCGTTGAACCTGTGCGTGCTGATTTAGCTCAACTTCAAGGCAAAGCCCTACAGCCAGGTTCAGGCTCACAAAGACTGGCCCAAAGCCCCGTTAGATGCTAAGCTGACTGGGGGCTCAGAGGTAAGGGTCAAATCCCTTGTCCATTTGTGTTGGTGCTGCTGGTTCAAGGACCTGGTTCAAACGCCACAGATGGGAAGAAAAGGAGAGAAATAGAAACAGAAATACAGGAGAAAGGAAGAGAGAGCCTGGATGTAATTGGGTGAGACAACTTGAGAAGGCAGATGACAGATGACAAAAAATGAAGCTCAGAACAATTGGACAGCAGAAATGATGGTGGGAGAAAGTCAAGAGAGAGAGAACCAGAGATGGCGTGAGAAGGGGGGGTCAATTAAAGTGACCTAGTGCATTAGAGGACAAAAGAAAGAAGAACATCAAGGGAAGGGGACAGGTAGATGGGGAGGGGGGGACGTGAGAATGTGAGTCTGGCAGGGTGATCTGAAATGGTGCCAGGGTCAGGTGATGTGTCTGAAGGACCTGTCCGTCTCTCTCTCTCTAATCCCACTGCATCCCACACACACTCTTTTTCTCAAAGTCTGAGGCAAGAACAACGACTGACAACTGTGAAACTACTTGTCAGTGGCACGTTGACTCTCTGCCTACTAATGTGGTGACATCATGTTGACTCACAAAGTTCAGTGTGTTGACAGCATCTACCAGTGAGCATCAGTGACTCAGCAGCATGAGCACCAGGCCAAATGGTTATCTCTCCATGTGCTGACAGTGTGACTGCTGGCTTGGTACGTGTCAAGCTCAGTTTCCAGTATAACTGTATAAGGATAATCACCTTTATTTGGCCAAGTATGTTACACACAAGGAATTTGTTTCCGGTACAGAACAGAGGCAGCCATCTGTGGCACCAACTCACACTGATGGCTCTAACCATCGGGGGCAACTTGGGGGTTCAGCGTCTTGCCCAAGGACACTTCGACATGTGGACTGCAGGCACCATGATTCAAACCTCCAACCCTCCAGTTGGGAGACAATTGCTCTACCCACTGAACCACAGTCGCCCACAGTCACATGCTCAGTATGTTCCCTATGTGTAGGGCCCGGAATTAATTGAAATTAAAATAAGTTGACTATGGCTTTCTGGGGTCAATGGGTGTTAACGTGTCACAAGTTGAGAAAGGATTTCCCCGATTCTTTGGCTACGATTGGGTAAATTTAGGTCAAAGCTGAATCATTCACCTCAAAAAACAGGAAAAAGTCCCACAGACATAAATATACTTTGGTTTTGGACTTCTCAGTGGATCAGACTATTGTTTAATAAACACAGTATCTATGCTGACTGTAAGTCAAGCATGTGAAGTGCAGTAATTGCAAGGAGGAAAAAACAAGCCACAGTTAACATTGGCACTCAATGAATTTTATAAACCAAGTTTGACCTTGTCTTACTTTCCAGCTACGTCCACCGGTCTGCTCTATTCATCTTTAAACGCTCCTCTATTAGCCTCCATCTTTGAATGTGTGTGCTTGAAGCAATACAGCCACCATCCTGCCTCAAAATGTTAGCTCTTGTTTTAAGCACTGATTGCTCTCACATTACTTGTGGCACTCATAAGTAATGCAAGGTCATTCTCATTCAAATGCACACACACACCAGCAGGAAATACACTCCCTCACCACGTTTCTCTTTCCCACCACAGACACACCTACACTCACATACACACACATACAAAAGCACACACATGCACTTTTTTTTTTGGACCAACTTAAAGATGTAGATGACCAGCTGGCAGTCAGAAAGACAGATAGATAGAGGAACACAGAGAGTGATAGGGCAGCCTGTGCTCCATCAAGACAGCAAGCTTAAAGCTTTGTTAATGAATTCTGATTGCACACATATAAATTCACAATATGTCAAACACATGCTGACATTTTGAAGCATGCAGCAGCAAACTTAATGAGAGACAGAAAATAAAAGGATACAATCTTTTTTTTTCTTTCAGTTTTGAATTTCAGGCTCAAGGAAAAAAAAATAAACAAAGCAGTAGAAGAGAATTAAGAAGAAAAGACTAACAGGCAGGAACAGGAAAATCAATTTTGTAATAATTATATTTGCTGGTTAAGAGATACATATTAAGTGACTGAGGACAACTCATCAACCGCAGTCTGCCCGCAGTTACACTCTTAACCACATGAGGGTGGAGTTAGGTTCCTCAGATTGCTTCTTCTTAGTCATAGGTGGGCTGATACCAGCACTCAGTTTAACAGGTAGGCCAGGCTGCTTATGGAGAGTTGCATGTAACTATCAATGTGTATATGTGTATGCTGGTCTGGAACCCCCATCGGGGTGTGTAACGTCGGGTAAACCTCTCTCTGAGCCTGAACACGCGCAGCCTCCTCCTGTGCCCAGAGAGCCTCCCTGTGCGCAGAGGTGTTCATGCTCTCCCTCAGTGCCATCTCCAACTCCCTGATTCGCTCTGCCGTTTCCCGCATGGCATCCTGGGAAGCTAAAAGAGGAAGCTGGGGTGGGGGGGTGGGGGGTTCGAGGAAGAGGACGAGCAGGAGGGATGGAAGCAAAGTAGCAAAAGCCAGAGAGAGAATGTTTTTCCTTTGAGTGCGCTTTGTTTTAAATTTTATTGTTACTATTTTGCATTAAAATCATCCTTGAGAAAAGGTGTATTTGTTGGTCCCTTTTATAAAAGGAACACAATCCATGTAAAACAGAACTGAAGGAAGGACTTGAGAAAGTTAAAAGCTGTGGTGATAGAACAAGACTTTTCTTAGAATAAATAGACACAACCAAGACAGAAGAGAGTGTTAAGTGATGGAGAGAGAGAGTATGTAAGTGTTATGATCTTTGCTGTCATCCATATGAGTATGCACATGTGTGAGCGTGGGTGAGTAGGGTAGACTGTGTGCATTCACATGCACAGCTTGTGTGTGGCCTCTCTGACACCTATGGTGAGCGGGGGAAACAGACCCCTCTCCGTACTGGGTGATGGAACTGTTAAAGAAAACACTGGACAGAAATAATAAACCCTCCAATTCTCTCTTTCTCTCTCATTTTTTATATTCTCTCCAACTCCCTGAAGTTGACTCACCTTCAAGTTCACACATTCACACTTTTCTGGAAGCAGTGCAGAGAAGATACTTTAATGGGTTCAGATAAATTGTGTGATATATCCTTGTTGCAAAACAGTCAGACAATATTTTGATTGACTACTCAAACCAGAGTGCACCAATCATATTCTCAGCAACAAAAATTAATCAGATCAATGTATGATCACTGAAATGTCATATAAACACTTTTATGCCATCAGACAAGCAGAATGTAAATCACTGCAAAAGCAATGTTTTGATGGTGGGAGTCAACACTGGAAGGTTTTACCACATAAACTTGATAACATACTTGAAGATGCATCAACCAACTAAATATGACAATAAGTCATAAACATGGCAAAACTGCCAACAGAAGAAATCACGGACTTGATTATCCAGCGCAGAACATACAGGCTAGTCGGCTGTAGTCTGTGCGGTGTGTTCAAGTGCCAATTTTTCAAACCAGCAGGCCCAGACAAAGATGATGTGAGGTGACACAACAGTCAGCCTGTGTTGCTGCTAGTTCTTTGTTGTCAGCTTAGTGTGCCTCTGCCCTAAGAATGTGCTCAGTGAAACCTTTGAACATTTCAGTCAAGGAATTTTCATCCATCACAATGATGGATACTACAGAGACAGGCTGAAGGGGCTTTCCTGAACTGCTCTCTTCTTGCGCATTGATTCACTTAGCTGAAGAGCCAATTGGAGTGGTCTATCTAATCCAACATGCCAAATTGGGCGAAAAGCCACCGTCAGGGTTCAACTAGTGCCAAAGGTGTGGGACACACTGGAAAGATGAGGGGGAAGAGGCAGGGTACACCCTGGACAGGTCACCAGTCTATCACAGGACTGACACTTAGAATCTGAATTACTTTAATTGCTAAGTATGTTTGAACATTTATTTGACTCTGGTACAGAGTATCTCAATGTGTTGTAAGGCAACAATAATAGAAAATAACAAATAAAGCAATAAAAACAAAAAAGAATAAACTGTGTGTGCATGCAAATAGGGAAAGTGTGCAATCAAAAACAAGAAAGGAATGAGAGGAAAAGAGAGACAGCTTTTATAAATATGTACATCTATATACAATATGACAGCTATCAGACTGAATGACTGTACGTACAGTTTATTGCACTGTGGTGATTGCTGTGTCCCGATTAACTGGATTAACTGTTGATCAGAGTGATAGCACACGGAAGAAGCTAATGTTTAGAGACAAACAACCACACACATCCATACTCACTCCTACGGGCAGTTTAGAGTCACCATCCAACCTAAGCTGCATGTCTTTGGGCTGTGGGAGGAAGCCAGAGTACCTGGAGTACCACACAGGCACAGGGAGAACATGCAAACTCTGTATAGAAAGGTACCAGGTCGGCCGGGTCTCAAACCCCGGACCTTCTTGCTGTGAGGTGACAGCACTAACCACTGCTCCACTTCCATGTGTGTAAATGTGAATCTGAATTCAAATGCTTGGAAACAACTGCATCAGCTACAGTACGGTATATACCTGATACAGAGCTAAACATAAATGTTTTTATCAAGTCTCACAATACTTTGAATAGATAATATTGTATTGCGTAAAACTGAGCTTCAAGCTAAACAGTATTGAAAAAAAAATGCATCTATAATGTATCTAAATTCAATTGTCAATAGTAAAACACTTGATTGAAAAGATGTAAAATCTAATGACCAATAAATCTAATTACTGACCTATTCACTGATAACAACTAAAGCAGTAGAAATGGGATCAACCCTAAATGAGATGAAAAGAGTGCCGAGCAACTCACAAATTACAAGAGGATACTTGCTGCTCATCACGTCAGCAAAACACAGCTGGAGGTGAGCGACAAACCCCTGCACACATGTACAGAGGCAGGCTGTGTGCGTCAGCAGCCTAAAGCCCTAATTGGATATGACAGACAGGCAGTAATTCAATGCACCAGAATCAACAAGTATTCGTCTGACCCTGCCGCACAGACAGAAACACAGGAATGCATGTGTGCGCACACACACAGACATCCCACTGAGAAGGGCTGCCACTACTGGACCCTCGAATGAAACCTAACCAGAAAGCTGTGTCTGTCTCTGTGTGTGTGTGTGTGTGTGTGCACATATATAGTTCATGTGTCTGTGTGTGTGTATCTGTGTGTTATGTGAGTTTTATTAGTAACAAGAGAATATTGATGGCTTTCAAGAAGAAGAATTGAAAAAAAAGGTGAGAGAAAGAAAGACATAGAGAGTGGGAAAAATGTAAAGATAATTGCCTGTGCAGCACCAATCATCACCTAGTGCCCTTGGGAAAGATCATTATGAAGTCTGGCTCTTCCTGGTTTGATGGAGGGATTATAATCACTAAAATAAACTAGCAGAGAGTGAGAGAACACACATATCCAGCAGCTGTGAACTATGATCCTGAGTACACACACACATACCATTTACCCATATAGCCTGATCCAAGCAGACATAGTTATTGGTCTTTGTTAAGAAAGTTGTTTGTGCAGCATCAAGCTCTGTCTTCCTATTTTATGATTTAAAAAAATGTTAAGTATGTGTGCAGGATCAGAAGCCTCATATACAGTTTCAGTCAAGTGTAAACACTGGGAAGATACTTAGGGTGAATAAAAATCCTGAGATGCATCTATCTTCCTCAATTTTTCTTAAAATAATCCTTATGTCGCTGATAGATAAAAAACAAATAAAAAGCCTGTGTCGAGGCTTGAAGTAAATACATGTTTTCTCTGTGTTTGTGAAGTGCAGCGTGGTGAGATGGAAACCACGGAGCAGAGAGATGCTATCTTTTCATCCCTCATAAACTCTCCTAGATTGGATGGGGAGAGAGAGTGAGGGAAGGCCCTGTTTGTTTGTGTTTACCCTCGGAGCATGCTGTGTTCCTGATGGACTCCAAGATACAGTAAACTGTGAGCAAGCGTGAGCAGGGGAAAGACAGGGACTCTGCAAACTATTACACAAACTGGAGCTGGGGCCAATGAAAATATACTTAGTTTTACAGGTATTTGAGCCTAAACATAATTTTTACCTGAGTTTGCCACTAGATGAAAAGTCCAAATCACCAACGTGGGTAGTCGTCACGCTGAGGGGGGACATGAATGTGCGTATCAAACCTTATGGAAAAATCTACCTGTAGTAGTGGAAAGAGTTCACTAAAACACAAATGGCAACCTCATGGAAGTCACCAAGGCTTTATCATCTTGGTGTGATAAATTTTTGTGCTACATTTCAGCCTGGACCAAAGTAACACCCATAGCAATGATAGCAAGGGTTAACGGATCTGGCTAAATATTGATTTCTCTGTCAACCTCAAAAACACACCATTGATCAGGCACTTATGTGGATAAATGTGGATAAATGACAATAAAACTGAACAGGACCATAAAAACCTACATCTGCACTAACACACTAGTATGACATGTCCTTGGGTCACTATTTTTACAATACATTGAATATATACTTACAAAAATTTATTCAACCAATCCATTAATTTCTGTTCCTTTGTGAGTGGAGGCTTTTGGATGTGTATGTGTGCTTGAACCTTCAGTGTCTTATGTTATTTTTTTGATTTTGCTTTATATCTTTGTCTTTTCTTTTTGTCTCTTTAGTTTCAGCGTTGCTCTCTGTTTGTCTGATGCTTTGCTTGCTATTTTTGTATTTTATTCTGCATAATAATAATAAACACATAAATTCGACCACATGTGACACTTTCAATGTTGCTCTTTTTGTGGATGTCACCTGTGTCACTAACATACAATATGTCCCTCTTGCACTCCTCCATGTTCTTTCCTTCTGGCATTGGCTTCACGTCTTGTTGCAGGTTGTAGCAATATTAGTGCGTACTACTCCAGCACTATTTAGAAGAGGAAACAGGATGTTGGATGCTGCCTGCCAGCACACAGAAATAACAAAATAACTTCCTAAAAAGATTTTTCTCTGTTTGGCAGAGTGGTACAGAGGGGTGTACTCTACAGTACTTCATTGGTCCTGTGGGAAAAACCTGGCAAAGCTGCAGTCTGCATATTAACACCTTGGCATAGCTCTGCAGTTAAGTACACAAGCATGCAAACAAACACATGCATGCACGCTATTGAGCAAATAGCTGACACTCATGTTGCATACAAATGATATCGCTGGACTTTTCCAAAAAAAAAAAAAAAAAAAAAAGGTAGTTCAAAATGGTCTCTCCTTACTTGACTACACTTAACTTACTAGTCCTTTGCTATCACCATCTGAGCCGCTCCCAGCTGGTGTATGGAGCTGATTTCTGCTCGACTAAATGCCTGTCTCTTCCACTTAGAACTAACTCTGAGATGCAGTGAGGGAGGGAGGGCAGGAGGTAAGAAAGCCTGGAACAGCGTTCTTTCTGCACAGACAAACAGAATTATACAGACACTGACAGTGAGCAAAGTCAAGAATGAGACAGTGAAAAGATGATAGTTTCTGAGAAATGGCTTACAATTAAGATGAGGAAGAAAGAAAAGAGCGTGGGAGTTGTGAACCAATCTGCAGGATGAAGTGATGAGCTAATTCAGAGGGCAAGGAAAGTACACGAGTGTGCACACACAAACACACACGTATTCAAACCTGTGACAAAGAGTGCGGATGTCCATCAGTTAGGGCATCTATACTCATCTCACTCTGCACTGTCTGCTTCTGGATGTTAGGAGACTTGATTTGCCTTCAGACAGAGAAAAATGGATGACAACAGGTAAAAAGAGGTTCAATAAAGACATGTAAACTAATCATGGAGAACAAAAAGACACTTCTTTTGTATTTCAAATAATATGACCAATATGTAAAAATGCAAGCACATGACAGTATTCAACAGCCACATTTTACTTTCAGTACATTTTTAAGTGGCAACAGCACAGTGTGTGTAGTAAAGCAGGGAAGCACAGAGGCCGTGCGTGTGTCCAGTCTTAGTAACATTACAGACCTGGACAAGACAAAACTTGACTGATGGATGCGAGACATTGCTGTGTAAATCTTTCAACAACAAAACACATAAACACAACGTACAAGCTGCACAAGCATTAACACAAACACACCGTCTAAAAAACAGGTTTGTGCAAATGGTAAGAAGATGAGATGACACCAACACACACACAAAGGTATGGTCAAAGTCTCCACGATAAACACTGCCAGTAACACACACACAAACACACACAGAGGATAATAAATCTGTTGTCAATGATGTGCACTGCTGTGCTGATGGCTGATTACAGAGCTAAACTGCATATTAACCTGTCAGGATTGCTTTGCATTTACCTCCACACTAAGGCCTGCTCCTTGTCATTTGTCAAACTTACTACATCAGACAACTATGGCATAGACACACAACCACACACACACACACAGCATCCAGTTTAATACGGTATTATAAAGTTTACACATTTATGCTTTTGGCAAAGGCATTCAATTTGCTTCAGCTATGATGCAAATATAGTAAACTGGAACTGTTTGGATCCATGGATTAGCAATGTGTCTGGTGTAAGAAGGGAAAAGTCTGTGACAAGAGCATCATCCCACTAATCAAGCATGGAGGTGGGTCCATCCTGTTGTGGAGTTGTTTTGCTGGTACTTGACCATGTGACTGGCATAATGGATACTTTGAATACCAGGCCGTACTAAAGAAGAAGGCGATGCGCTCAGCGCAGCTTGGTAATCACTGGACTTTCCAGCAAGAAAATAATCCCAAGGATGCATCTAGTTGCACCAAACAGCTTGGTTCAAGTATCATTTCTGGAATGTTCATCTCATTCCCCAGATTTGAATCCAAATTAAATTCTTAACTGGGATTTAAAGAAAGCACTGGCAGCACAGAAACCAAAAAATATTAGTGAGACTGAAACTTTATCACATTAGAAATTGGCTAAAATTCAAAAGAAAGGTACCACAAACCTTTTTTTTAAGCAATGTTTAATGTAGATCATAAAGTCCAAAGGCTGTCTGACAAAGTACTGACTTTGGGGTTGAGTAATTTTGACAAATGGCCTTTTTGGAGAAAATTAAATGTATCTTTAGTACCATTAGTGAGCTTAGCAAACTTTGTCACAAAACATTCACATATGCATCATAGTGAGTGGTTATCAACACACTCTGACTTCCCTGTTTACCCCTCACAGTTTCACACCTCTTTAAAAAAAATGCCCAGAAAGTGTGTGAACTCTGACAGTGACAAATTAGTGCTGAGGAAAACCCTCAAAGACTGTACACAGGCTGTGACCAAGCAGCTGCTATATTATTATCCCATATCTACACTGGTGTGTTTACTCTGGGTAAAACCTACAAGCTGCCCCCACATATGGCAAATATTTGCCTTCACAGCACTGAAGAACGGTATGAGTGTGTGTGTATAAACTTTTGAGTGATGTTTGTGTACAATTAATGGGCAGATGTGGCTCAGGAGGTAGAGCAGTCGTCCACCAACTCGAAAGGTCAGCAGCTCGATTCCGCTCATGTCAAAGGGCAAGACACTGAACCCCAAGTTGCCCCCGATGGCCAGGTCGATGCCACCATGGTGTGTGTGTGTGTGTGTGTGGGTGGGTGCCACAGATGACTTCCTCGGTTCTGTACCAGAGGCAAATTCCTTCCTTCCTAATGTGTGTGTATAAAACAACATGATGAATGTTTAATACACACTCACCTTGCCAAACACACACAGCAGTGCCTTTCAAAAACTTTGAGGAAATTTTTGTTTTAATAATAGAAGACTGAGCAGGAAGGGAGTACTCAACATTTATATCACTATTTTATCCAATTTTACTCCCCAGTACACTTCATTAGGCTTAGAATTTTAGGTTGGATCTTTGTTTCTTTTTTTAGTAAATAATGATTATCATTCAAGTCTGTTACTGTTATAAACGTATGTGTAAACACATCTAGATGTGCACACATATTTGCAATATCTAGCGAGAAAGAGGATGAGAGGAATCTGTTTATACTAGGATCTTTGATGTGTTCGTTTTTATAAGCTCAGATGCATGTCCATGGAGAACAAACTTACCATAAGGGCATATCAGCTGTCACACACAGGGTACACACTGGTACAGGTGTACAAACCAGCAGACACGCCGGTGCCTTTTGATCACGCCATCAGTGAAACTGAAGTATGTGTTTTGACCAATGTGAAGGCAAATGAGGGCAGGCAGAATGTTTATAAGGAGCAGAAAGGCCGGGCTGCAAGAGAGTGGAAAATGTGAAGAACTGTGATTTGTTGATTAATGCAATGTGTAAATTCATGGGGGGAATGGTATTTTATTGTGGTGACATTTCTCAGAAAGATGAAGTGAGAGAGAAAGAGTGAGCAAGCAGTGGATGTGAGTTCAGCCATTTCCTAAAATGAGTGTAATAAGTAATTTTTCACATTTCCCCTGACTTCTTCCACTCGGGGCACTCGACACATCTACCTTCCAACCCAAGCAGCTGTGTGTTATTTCTGGCTGTAAGCTCAGCTTTTTTATTTTTTATTTTTTGTATTTTTAACCTCATCTGTACTGTATCTCTTGTAATCTCTTCTTCCATTATCGCTTTATCATGTATTTCTCTGTGTGTCTTGTAGAACTCACAATCACTTAGGTTTAGAAAAATAAAAATCTCTAACCTACTGCTGATGAGCCTTTGAGCAAAGCTCCAGTAGAGCTGCTGAGGGCACAACATTAAGTGGGATGCTGAAGGCAACGAACACGCATTGTCTGTTGACATTTCCTGGATCAATAAAGGTTAAAAGGAGTAATACCCTTTTGAGAACAAAAGATTCCAGATTTTTATCTCCTCCTTCATAACTCTAATTCTTACTCTGTCTCTTTTAATAAACAGCAGAAAGCAACAAAATAAACAGCTGCAAATACACAATGAAATGCACACTGTTTACAAACATATTGATGTTAAATTTTAGTCTGCATTTTCAAGACTGATGCCCCCAATGTCTGAAATTTTAATACATTTTTGACTAGCACATATGTTCTGTGCCTGTGCGTCTGAAATTTGGCTACATTTTTAGAAACAAGTCTCAAAGTTATGTCTGCACATGGCTTACATTTGTATAGATATCTTTGTGAGCACAATCATTGACACTACATTCCCTAGCCCCTAACCTTAACCATTACAACTAGAGCTGACAATATCTGTTCATAATCAAGAATATGTGTGATAAGAAGTTGCAAATGACACTGCTGAAGAAAAGAGGCTGTGGAGGCAAAAAAAAAAAAAAACTGGGAGAAACTGCACTAAATGAATGAAATCATGGATAACACAGCGATACACTGAAGGGGTTTTCCTGAACTGCTCTCTTCTTGTGCACTGATTTGCTAAGCTCATCAGTTAATCAGAAAGATCTCTCTCTCACCGATGAGGCCCAACCGTTGATGCCGATTCAACAATATGCCAACAGTGCAGGGCACACCAGGAAGACGAGCCCTGGCAGATGTTCACTGAGCATGATTAGTAGTGGACCCACTAATCATGAGAGTCTATGTGTCTGTCTCTCGTATGTCTTTGTGTGTTGCTGAACTAAGAATGGCAAACAGTACATGCATACTGTGGCTCTCCATAACATTCGCTGGCATGTCTGAATGAAGCTGTGAGGAACATTAATGTAACAGTGACCTAAAATTGAATGACAGAAATCCCTTGCTTTAAGCATACTGATGAAGCCAACAATGTTACATATCCCATCTGAGATGGGTTAAAAACACCAACCATAATGTTATTAATCATGACTTACAAAAGATCACTAGAAGATTAAGCTATGAAATAGCTGTGAGTGAATGCCCCCTGAGCTGGAAGGTATTTATTGCAATGACTTGCTGGCTGCATTCATCTTTGACTCTCTCTGCAGAGCTGCCAAGTGGGTTTGAAAGTGTCTGTTTCATCATCTGTTCTCCTCTCTTTCCATTCAGATAGTGGTTAATAGGCCATCTGACAGAGTTCCAACAGAAACACTGATTAAAAAGGCATTCATCCTCTGCCCAGACACTTCTCACATGCCTGACAGCCAGCACACAGATACTCATCCAACCTTGCTGTCATATACATGAATGAACACAGACACACACCATCCATCCCTTTATTAGCTACACCGCTTATTTCTGAAAAGGGCACCGGGCACGACCCGGACTCAAACATGGAACCTTGTTGCTGTGGGGCAACAACGCTAACCACCGCCCACAAACACACACACGCACACACACACGCAAAATATATTTTAAGGTTTAGTTTGTTAAATTAAATCATGAGTATAGTAGCTTGATACTCCACTTCTCTGCTGCAGCTATACAAACAATGTACATTTGTTCATGATATTATACAGTATCTCTATATGTTTACAGTAGCAGTGTTTGACTACAGTGGATCCTCCACTGATAACATGCAGCTGACCTGCATGTGACCTCTGACCTGTATACACTGACCAGAAGGGAGAGGTTGGACGGGCAGAAGCGACCGTTTGACACTAATGAGACAGCAGTGTCGAAAAGATGAACGAGCTGAGGGGAAGAAAAACTCTTCCAATGCTTGATCCAGAAACGTAATGATTAACACACATTCTGGTAACAGCTGCTTGAAAGCGGCATACACATGTAGATGTAAAGGCAGAGGCATGACGCATGCACAGACATGGAAACAGAGTAGACTGTGTGAACAAATTCTGCGGGTGCTACTGAATCCCTATTATACTTGATGATCTTACGTTCCCACAGAGTTTGAGTCAGCAAACAGTTTCCACGCCAGAGTGGAGGGGCTGTAAAATGAGTAATGAATGAGGCAGGAAACTCTGCTGGATCTCATACAAACAGCCTATCCAGATTCATTCTAAACTATCTGGAACCATAGGTAGAGTTAACACACTTGATGGAGCCAGCATGTGTTTAAGAAATTCTTTTGACATATTTTTTCACTCTCATTGCCTCTTTTGTAAAGTTGGCAATCCACCAACAGAACTATCAATCTACAACCCCAATTTCAAAAAAGGTGGGACACTGTGTATTGAACCCCCCCCCCCAATCTCATACTCATTTAGTAACAGTACATAGATATCTAACATTCAAATGAATATGCTTTGATTTAGATAAACCTATTCTGAATGAGATGCCAGCAACATGTTCCAAAAAATTGGGACAGGGGCTGCAAAAAAAGAGAAAAGAAACAAAAAATAAATAAATAAATAAAAACACCTGGTTGATTGGCAGCAGGTCAGTATCATTATTGGGTATAAAAAGAGCATCAGCACACAGAGGCTGAGCTTTTAGAATGCTAGGGTGAGGTTCATCGCTCTGTGTGGCAAATAGTTCCCCACTCTAAGAAAAACATTTCTCATTGTAAAATTACAGTTATGTTGGGGTCTTTGTCATCTACAGAACATAATACAAGGGACAAAATCCAAAACCAATTTTGAATGGCTGTGATCGTCTGGCCCTCATGAGACACTGCATTAAAAACAGGCAATTCTGTAGTGAAAATCACTGCATGGGCTCACGAACACCTCTGAAAACCATTGTTAGTGAACATGTTTTGCCACTACATTCACAAATCCAAATGACAACTCTACCATGCAAAGAAAAAAAAACATATATGAATAAGATCCAGACACACTGCCACCTTCTCTGGGCTTGAACTCATTTAAGGTGGACTGAGATGGTGTGGAAACTTGGTCTGAAGAGCCAAAGTTTGAAATTTTGTTTTTGTTAGAAATCATGGACGTTGCGTCCTCAGCGCTAAAGAGGAGAAGAATCCTCCAGCTTATTATTAGAACAGAGTTCAAAACGCAGCATCCATGATACCGTGAGTGCGTATTAGTGCACAAGTCATGGGCTACTTGTAGATCTTTGAAGGCACCATTAATGTTGAACAACAGGTTTTGGAGCAAGACACTGCTCCTGTCCAGATGAGGACTTTTCAGGGAAGGCCTTGTTTATTTCAGCAAGACAATGCCAAACCACATTCTGCACATATTACAGCATAGCTCCACAATAAGAGGTGCTAAACTGGCCTGCCTGCAGTCCAGATTTGCCATTCATTGAAAACACTTGGTGCATTCTGAAGTGAGAAATATGACAAAGGAGGCCCCAAACTGTTGAGTAGCTGAAATCCAGTATCAGGCAGAAATAAAAAAAACATTTCACTTTCAAAATGAAAACAGTTGGTGTCCTCACTTCCACTTGCAGGGTGTTGATAAAAAGTAGAGGTGATGCAACACAGTGGTAAACATGCCCCGGTCCCAACGTTTTCGGAAACATGTTGCTAGTATCAAATTTAAAATCAGCAGATACTTTTCCTAAAATGCTAATTTCTCAGTTTCAACATCTGATGTATTGTATTTGTGCTATTTACAATTAAATACCAGATTTCCAAATTTTTATTTACAATTTACATACATACCAGCTCCCAGTTTTTTTAGAATTGGGGTTGCAGACACACAGAACAATGCATAACAAATTACTAGACAACTGCTTCAAGTTCAGTTCCATACTGTGCACACACACAAAACATGCCTCTTTCTTTGCTCGTTTTTCCACACATACACACAAACACTCACATACACTACCTCTACTTTGGCAGTAAAGAACCACTCATTTGGGTACATATACTGCACACACCGTGCCAGTCCATAAATCAGATTATAATTGAGTAGCACTGTGCCAGTAATAAACAGCAGTATAAACAGAATGGCTGGGCTGGATACACTACCCCCCTAAATGGCATTTCACTGGCAGCCTGCCTGGCAAACTCAGCCACACAAACTCACACAAACTCATTGACTGCATTTACAGTAATGCAAATAAAGAGGATCACTTCTTTGTTGAGTTTACAGTTATATATGAAAACACGAACATCATTTAAACTGAATATGATATAGGGAAAACACACGATGGTGCTTATGATTGCAGTGAAATGTTAAAAAGCTTTTCAAAAGTCAATGCAGTGAGGACAGTGATTGTTTGGCATAAATGCGGTGCGCATTTGTTGTCCCACTGGGATTGTTAAATCACAGCTTGTGAATCAGATTTAAGCCAAAATGTTCAATTTTTAACTTTTTACCTGTGGAACATTTGAAATCAGCCCCACAGTCATGGCACAATGTCAAGAGTAATGGCTATGGACAGTGATGAAATGATAAGAAACTAAGTTAAAGTATTTTAAACAACACGTGTACAGCTGGTCACAGCAGACATTTTTAGTATGGTTACATCAGACAAAAAGCATGACAGCATGGACATGGTTTCAAGTGCTGGGAGGACACAATCTAGACAGTTTATGTCTTTTGGATTACTCCTGTATAAATAGAACACTTGAATTGATATCATACAAAGATCCAGTCACTTGCAAGGACACTGCTCTTTGAGGACACCCAGATTGTGTCTTGTGATAGATATGAATGTCACATTTTGACCCTCACCTCTCAAGATCAGCAATTTTCCTCTCCTTGCATGATTTTTCCATCTCAGCATCTCTCAGAGCTGCCAAAAGTCTGTCCACCTCAGCTTGTGACTTCTTGGATTCCTCTCTGTAGCAGGCCACTTCTTGCTCGAGAAGCCCTAGACGATCTGTGATGTCTGGACACTTCCTGAATGCTTCTTCCATGTTTTGGGTCTTTGACTGGGGAGAGGGTGAGGGTACATTAGGTACAAAGATATCAACAATGTACTGCATAAATTATTATTAGGACAGTATCAAAGAACATACACAGTGGCCAGTTTAGGACATCTCAGCTTTTCAAACACCCCCCATTTTTAAGAGGCTAATCAGACATGGCGTACCTTCACATTTTCTATATTTAAAAATGACAAACCTCAACTCTATCAGCATTATACAAATACATTAACATGCTACATTGCTAATTGTAAGTATGAGCATACTAATGTAGCATAAGAATTGAAAAGAAGTTAAAACTGAAGCTGTCAAAAGTCAGGTTGACAAAAGAAAGGTAAGTCTAACAAAGTACACCTACAGCTAACAAACTATAGGCTATTGAAGGGCAGTTGAAGCTAAATAATTACAAGACCACTGATGAAGTAGAGCTCAGGCTGACAGTGCAGCTGAGCCTGACCAAGTAAAGCTACAAATGCCACAGTATAGTTAAGAATGACATAGAACAGACAGGGCTGATGGACACTGAGCGTGACAAAGAACAGCTCAGACTTATTAAAGTTAAGCTAAATCTGGCACAAGAAAGCTGAGCTGACAGGCTGAGTCGCAGAGGTCGTGGAGTGCCTCTGCACTCACACATGCAAGCACAAACAAACAAGGGGTATATAATAACATACAGAAGGCTAAAGTACCCACTGTGGTTACTCCTGATAGCCCATCTACTTTGGCTGGCAGCTAGAAGTTAATACAAAAAGACATAACAGATGAAGAATGAGAACATATTATAAGAACCAAGTGCAGTCTTAAAAAATTTTATATCCCCTAGGACTGAATAATTGGACACTGACAATTACACAGGGACAGATATGCGAGCACCTCACATAGGTAGCTTTATGGAAATGGTAAATGAATCTTATTGTACTATATGTGCAGTTAAGGTCACAGTCTAGCAGAAGCAGAACCAATCTGTAGCTTCATCCGCTCTCATCCCTTCATCGCCCCCCGGTTTCTCTGCTGCCTGCTTTAATGTGGTTTGCTTCTATCAGTTGCCTCCCCAGGGCATCCTTAATGTAGAGTTTGGAGTTCAGTCATAATCATTATAAAATTACCATCTCCCTCTTTTTTGCTGTGATTTTATAAGACCACCAAACTTTTTTTTTTTTGAGTTTAAAAAAAAGTTACACTGAAGAATTCTTTCTTCTCTGAAAAAAATATCCCAGAGGAAGTTTGTAACCTAGAATTATCTTTTTCTCTACTACTCCCCCTTTTCTTGGTCTTTACCACTCTGTCTGCTGTGTTTGTGTTTCATTTAACTTGTTGAGACAGCTAAGGCCACTCATTTAAACATCATCAAGCGGGCACACATACGCATACACTGAACGATTTATTGTCAGGTCTACATAAGTGCGGGACTGTACATGTAACTCTGCTTAAGTTTGTCATTAGAAAAACTCAATTGGAGTGTCTGTTAACTATTAGCATTGGCCAATCTGAACAAATGCCTCTTTCCAATTATCACAAACCCACCAAATAAACAAAAAGCACAAGCTGGGCCCTGCATATGGGAGCTACAGCCATGGGCACAGCATATGGAGCACAGCTAAATGATTACAAGGTCTTTTTGTAATCCTTGTACTTTAGATGTAGGCATGCACAATGAGATAGCAAAGCAGGTACACATCTGTAAATGTGAAAATATATACCAAAACTGTCTTTGATGACATTATGGTGGTGGTAGTTTGTGTACTTGTGTGGGAAAAATATGCACCTGTGTTATACTGTAGCTGTGTTTATGTGTGTCCATGGCTATGAGTTGGACTAACCCTGTCTACAGCAGTATACTACTGTATGTGACCTTAAAAGAGCTCCATAAATGTGTTACTGCATGTGTATATGCACATCCCTGTATGTAGGACTAAATCCTGTGAAAAAGGGAGACCACTCGGCCCTCAGTCATCGTTTACCTCCTCCTCACCCCATTACCTCCACACCTAGCCCCATCAACCCGAGCTAGCACAAAATGCATTAGTCGTAAGTGGACCCAAGTTTGTTATGTTCTTTCAGTGGAAACCACAAACCGGCAGAAAGCAGGGGCTGAGAAGACAGCGGATGTGTGTGTGTGCGTGGGTGGGGGATGTACCAGTAAAGATACGATTACATATATGGTCATAGAAATGATCATTCCTGGAAATTGCGCTGAAGTGTAAATATAACATAACTTAAATATGAATGACAACCAGGCTCTGCACTGGGTTCTTTAACTCCTAGTCAGAGAATACCAAGCAACACTATAACAATACACTGAAAATAGATTTCAAATGGACTCAAAAGTCAGTTGAGCTATGGTGCCTCCTTGTTGATTCAACCCAACTTTCTCTGCCTTCCCTGAGGTTCTTTACCGTTTTCTCTTTGAAGAGCTAAGTTTTAGTTCCAGAAGTCCTTGATTAACATCGGAATCAACAAATACTGTTTTATGGGAAGAGGATGAGGATGCAGTAAAGTCAACAGAGCTCTAAGGACAAACATAAAAAGCTGTGCTAACAGCTTGACCGAGTCAGTAATACAAACATCTGCAGATACAGTGAGTGGGCCACTCTATGTAAGTGACCTGATGGCAAACACAAACTCTGCATCTGCTTGAGAGGTATGTGGCTACGCATCAAGAACTGTCAGGCTAAAAGCTTATTTCTCCATTTTTGGAGGTATCTGTCATTAATGCCAAATGAGAACATTTTTCTCTAGATTACAATTAAATCATACAACTACTGGATTAGTGTATAGTTGTATATGAATCTGGTTTATGAGGGTTAAAAAAAAGAATGTTTTTCTGAAAAACTGACATTGTGGAAGTGTAACTATTTCACCCACTGACACAGAATTCTAGTGAGTGACAGTCACAAGAAGAATTACAGCTCATGTTTATATGATACTAATTAAGATCAACCACATTTTGTTGTATCAAATTATGTTTTGTGCTAGTGTCTGTATAGTTGTGTGGACAAATTTTAAATCAATGTCATCATTGTGAGGACATTTCCGAAAGACAAGCATGTGTGTGATAGTCCAGTTTGATCAGAATCTAATCTCAGGAAGTATCTCAGGAGTAATGTGGCGTCACAACCTGTCACAGTCCGCTGCACTACAGTGGGTTCAAACACCATTTAACACATGCAGACACTCACATATAAGCACACACATCAATAGTTATTTTTGTGCTGGCATGCATCCACGGGGACACAAAGAGAAATTAATGCACTAATGTAAACACATAAACATCATCTGTCAATTTAAAGAATCTGCAAGTTTGCACAACAGGCCTGAATACTGCACAAATAAAGATTAATTATGGCAACCCGTCTGTCAAAGTGTGAATCTGCTCACTACAAAGAGTTACTGAGCGCCTGCCCCTTTCATGTGGTGGAGTGTCAACATTCAACAAGATATCATTTCACAGGAATGAGAAGTGTGTATACTTTTTATAAGCATAGAAGAAAACATTCTCATTAGGTCTGGCAGTGTGAGAGTGTGTCCTGGCTTGTAAGCCTGGGAGAAAGAAAAGAGAAAGAAGACTTGGCACCTGAACAGGAATAGCGGGATCTTTTATGTCCATAAATCACTCACTCTTAATTCATTCCTTTATCCTGTGAGACAAAATGAAGGCAGACTCTTGGCTAGAGAGTCTGTAACAATATTGTGGATGCTCACAGGGAGGTAAGAGTGAAACTACAGTTACTATAGAAGTTAGTAGTGTAAACACACGGTACTAGTAGCATATTACAACCACTGCAGCGGAGTGGTGGTTCTTTTGTATGATAAAAACAATTATAAAGTGTCATAATGTTTGTCTGAAATATCCAGTAGTAAAAAGGTTTTTAAAAAGATATTTGTTTTATGATGTCTGTGAAATGAGATGTTGTAATTGAGTTTATTTTAAAAGCTTGGCACAAGTACAAGTATCACTGTTTGTCTGTAGTCTACACACATACCAGACCAGCAATTTTGATGTATTGTGCACAGTGCTCAAATCAGTAAGCACACCGTTTCAACTACCAGTTAGATTTTGTTTTGGATGTTTCAGATTAAACGTAATATTTAGGGAATTAATAATCGCCAAAACATATTTACACAAATTACCCACACTGCATTCCACACACACCATTTTATTACCTACACAACATCACATTCTAAGATGCTTTAACTATATCAAAATCTTCCATACTGACCTCTCTCTCAGACCTCTGGTTCTGGGCCAGGTTGGGGTTAGCGGGCTGACCCTGGGACAGTTTCTGGGGCTGCAGGACTGAGAGTTTGTCCTTTAATTCTTGGTTCTCCTTCCTCATCTGCTCCAGCTCCTTCAGTCGGACCCTGTCCTCCCGCTCCTTCTGCTCCCGGAGGTTCTCAATCACCCGCTCCTGAGATAGTGAGATAGTACAATAACGAGAAAAAAGTATGTTTACTGAGAAGTGTGAGCAGGAATATGGTAAAGAGTCCAAAAAATCCTGGTCATATTTACGAAATATATGATATTTTACTTGCAGTGTATAAAAGATTGTCAGCAGTTCTTCCTTCTCATTATTGAAAAATAAGCCAGTCTCTTGCTGAATAGGCTTACAAGCTTGCTTTGCAAAGTGTGGACACAAAAAAACTCTTACATACTCCTAGAAATAATACTACCATAAATAATAGCAGGCACATTGGTAGAGCAGAGCCAATCAGAACAGAGAGAGAAGCAGGAAATAAAAGAAAGGTGGATGTACAGAGGGATTTGTTGAGGATGAAATGGACACCTGTAGATCATTTCCGATCAGCTCTACATTGCCTAACGATAAACCAAGTTATAATTTTCCTCTGTGCTCAAATTACATCAAACAGGTGAAGGATCACAGAATTGGGCACTGGACAGAGACCAGGTCCACACTATGGGTGGCGGAGCAAGGTGTGTGTAGCAGGTGTGTGATAATGTGTATGTTTTTAGGTGGGGACTGAAGCGATTAGCACGGTGTTTATCCAGGCAGAGAGTACAGAAGTGAAGCTTTACAATGTAGCATCACTACCTGACAGACAGCTGAAAACGCCTGGGTAACTAGACAAACATAACCATGCAAGAGAGACAGACCACATAGCTAATGACACTTAAGTGTGAAGTACCCAAAAACATAAAAAAAAAAGAAACCCAACACAGAACATCACAGACAGACACATACACCAAAGAGCAGGGCTTGGCATGGGCACAATACTCCATCCTGTCAATTAGAACCACAGCACTGTGGCTAGTGACTGGCTCCAAAAGCAGGTTTGTGACAGTGTGTGCTTAGCGACACACGCACTAGCTCTCATTACACACACGCTGTGCTATTGACCACAAAGTCTGAAAAGCTCACCAATGTTCTCATCCTCACAGCTGAATTATATGTTGGCTGCATCAGAAGTGTGTCTGGGTAAAGAGAATTTACAGTTTACTGTGCCATTATTCTCTTGATAACAAAAACAAATGTAGGTGATAAAAGATTGTTTAAGTGAAAACATCTAGGTACTGTTAGTCCATGTGTTGCACAACCCAACAAAACACACAACAGCCAATAATGAGTCTGTTAATAGACTGATGTTTGTATAAGCAAGTAAAAGATTTGCAATTAAGTGGATATACAAACAGGTGACAAATTAAAGGAAAGACTAACATAAAGTGCCTCAGTAAGGTGTCGGGCCACCATGTGCCACCAGAACAGCTTCAGTGCTTCTTGGCATTGACTCTACAAGTGTCTGAACTTTACTGGAGGGAAGAACACCATTCGTCCAAAAGATATTCCCTCATTTGTTGTTTGATGATGGTGGTGGAGACACTGTCTAACACACTGGTCCAAAATCTCCCATATGCTTTCAGTCAGGTTGGGATCTGGTGACTGTTAAGGCCACAGTATATGATTCACATCACCTTCGATCTCATACCATTCAATGCCCAATGGATGGTGGCATTGTCATCCTGGAAGAGACCACTTATTTATTCAGGATTTTCCTGTAATTCGTTACCTGTATATTAAGCATAATTCAGTTAAATTAAATACAACAAAGGAATTAATAGCAGAATAAGATGAACCCACAGACCCACATCCATTAAGAAATCAAGATTCCCTATGTCTGACTCCACTTAAGCTGCTTGACATATGACCAAAATGATCAAAGCAAAAACATTCTTTTTTTATTTATTTTTTTACTGGGGAAGCATTGTTGGCTGACTGAGCACTAACATTGTATCTGCTGCACAGACCCACTGCTCAAATTGAAATTATTAGGACTTTGACATCACTTCAAAATGTTGCCATCGGGATTTACTACTTCTCATGTGAAGTCCTGCTAGAACGTTAGATTCACCACTAATTCTGTCATGAACTCTATTGACTGTTCCTTCAGTCCCTAGCATGAGTATACACTTGGCCCATAAAAAGGCAAAACACAAACAGGAAGTCAAATGAGTACATATACATACTGTATATGGTGTGTGCACAATGGAGCACATAAAATATGCCAGCCACTGGAAAACAAGCAGTGCAGCTGGACATCCACATCTGTCCTAACTGGAAACACTGTAAACTCTTAAGCAGCAGCCAGTGCCAACAAAATGTAAACCAGCATCCATCTTTTAGCCTGCAGTACAAACAAACATGTAAATGGGAACCATTTTTTTCCCAGCAGTGCCAAAAGGATCATTTTTTTCGACTGTAGTACCAACAAACGTGGGCTAGCAACAATTTTAAACATGCCACAAAGCTAAGCAAGATGGAGTTACTCTGAAATCAAGCCAGTCAGTTCAAGGTAGCATATATATACTGCCAGACTAGTATTTGACATCTCTATGTTCATGGACAATACAGTATATACATGAAATATGTCTGGTGTTCAGGCCTGTCTCCAATTAGAAACTGCTGGCATCCTGTAACCATGAGTACAAATCCATAAACACTTCACTAAACATTTGTACAGACAAGGGGAAAAAAACCACACCATTATTCAAAGCAAGAATTTGCATTAAAAGCAATTTTATTTCCCCCAGAACACAATAAAGTTAGAGAGTTTTACTGGGTAAATGACTCCTACAATGCAATGCAGTGCATTTGACAGAAACAAAACCACCTGAGTGGCCAGCAAAGTCAGTCATCTTTTAGTAATATAGTGGCAGCATGACAGCTCAGTAGTGTTGAGGTGAGGCTTTATGGAGACCAGCTGCTTTCTCATGTTGCCAGAAAACAACAAACATTAACATACGGAATGTTTATGACCAACACGCAGCCTATCTACTCACCCATCCACCCACATGGAGTAAGTCAGATCAGTTCACCATGAATCACTTGGCAGTTGTTCATCACTGTAGTTTTATGCTGCAGTGTATCCTCTTAAGCATATGGACACACGCCTGTGTTCATTGCACCATTTGTCGAGGTTTAGGAGACTAGTAATTCAGTTTAAAAAGAAATTAGATCAAATTAATAAGGAAGGTGAAGCTGTGGACAAACTACAGAACAGAGTCAGACAAATTTGATATTACACTAACACTGGACCAGGACTGACCAAGATCATAAAGGCTTTACACTACAATGTGTATGAGCTATTTTTGTCATTATGTTGCACTCATGGTGACAGTTCCTTTTTTCCATCTATGTACAGACAGATGACAAATTAAAGGGAAAAACCTGAATAAATGAGTGGCCTCTTCCAGGATGACAGTGCCCCATCCATTGGGCACTGGATGGTTTGATGAGTATGAAAATGATGTGAATCATATGCTATGGCTGTCACAGTCACACGATCTCAACCCAGTTGAACACCTACAGCTGATTTTGGACCAATGTGGTAAACAGCATCTTCACCACCATCTTCAAAACATCAAATGTCTTCTACAACAATGGTGTTCATCCCTCCAGTAGAGGGACACTTGTAGAATCAATGCCAAAGAGCACTGAAGCTGTTCTGGTGGCACATGGTGGTGCAACACCTTACTAAGATATTTTGTATTGTTTTTGCTTTCACTTGTCTTTATCTTTCACCTGTCTTTATCAGTGGCTGTGCTGTCGGTTGTTGAATTTCCATCTCTGGGTTCTTTGTAACTGTTTAATGCTTGCCAGCTCTGTTCCTTCTCTTCCTTCATATATCTTTATAGAAACTCCCCCTTTTTTTACTGTGCCTCCACCCTTGCATTCTTTGACCTTTCCCTCCCATAATTCTGAGTCCACTTGTTCCATCTGGACAGTGCCCCTTCCACTTTTCCATCCCTCCACCTTTGAAAACTTCCATCTTCCTCTTCTTTTATAGATCATTCCCTCCCTGTGTGCACGGTCTGTGTTACAGACAGGGACTAATCCTCTGTCTGTGTTCACCTTGGACCCCCTCTCTCCCAGTGCCTCCTTCTCTCCATTACTGTTTTCAGATGGGACCTCAACTATTGTAGTCTAAAGTCTATAAATCAGGAAATTGTGTCAGTAAATAACAGCAGAGAGTCATAGCAGAGCATGACACTTAATTGAAATGTATGCTGTATACCAGTTTGCTGAAAGACTAGTGTGCCTCAGTGGTCTCATATTTCCAAGCTGTTCCAGACCGAGTGGTGGTCTAATGGTTTTTATTGTTCACATCTATCAAACAAGTCTTAGCCACTTCACCAGTGGTGCGCGTTATCCCTCCCACTATCCATCCAACAACAGAACATTTCCCGACCCTCACCTTGAGTTTCTTTTCTCAAAGGGCCACTTTTGTTTGTCTTACCCCATCTCTATCCTTCGGCTTTTTCAACAAGTCCACCCCCTTCAACACCCCCAATCCCTCACTTTGTTCCATACCTTTTCTGACAGAGCTTCCTCCAGTGTGGCCAGGGCTGTGTCTGTATTGCTGGAGTCAGTTTGAAGGCCCTGAACCCTTTCCCTCAACCCAGCCAGCTGTTTGTCCTTATCCTTTAACTGCTCCAACAGGTTCTCAATCTAGAGAAAGAAGGACAGAAACAGAGAAAGGGAGAAGCTGAGGTTAGTGTATTGGTGTGAAATAAGCACATAGCCATTGCAATGATTTAAAGAATTGTGGACAGAAAGTTTAAACTGAATGTGAAAGGTTAAATAGCATTATCCAATGTACCCAAATGGATTACTGTGGAGTACCACAAAAAGAAATTATCCGATTGACCACTGACTCAATGAAAAAACTGAATCTAGACATGAATAGTATGCTCAGCCTCTGGCTGCATTCTTTAGTTTCCTGCTATAGTGTCTTCCACTCTGGTCTGGCATATCAAAGATAAGCATCAACTAGAATTACAACTTTGCAGGTCCAGTTAAATTCACAAGAATGGGACAGATGTGAGGTCAATAACCTTGACCTTTGCCAACAAAAATCGAATCAGTTCATTCTTGAGTCCAAGTGGACCTTGTACCAAATTTGAAAAAATTCCCTCAAGGCGTTCCCAACATACCATGTTCACAAGAATGGACCGTACAAATGGACTGCCAACACAAAAACATAATACCTCAAGCCACAGCTACTGCCGGTGCAGAGGCATAATGCAAACCTCCACTGAATGGCTTGGGGTCAAGATAATTATGGTTGATCCATGGGTAAAGCAGAATTTATTCTACTTCTAAAGGGTTATTCATGTTTTGTGTGCCCACATGTTTGCTATGGTCGAGTGATGTAATTTTTGCCATCTTCCCAGGTCCACAAGAGTCCATAAGGACTCTGTGCAGACACCTGCGTGCAGGCCAAAGGTTTGTCTGCATGGATGATCCGCATAGCAAAAGCTCTGACTGTACATGCAATGCAATGCTTAGAAAATGTTGGTGCATACATCCCTGTTCAATGTTCGTGTACACATGAGGGTATGCACAAAGTATGTCTAATTCTTAAGCAGAAAACCTAGTGGGGAAGTGTAAAGAATATAGCCACTGAGAAAGAAGCAAAAGGAAAAGGTGCTAAGAGAGTGTTTTGTCTGCACTGATCTGTTGTGTCAGGAAGGTTTGGCCCAGATTCAGACAGCTCCTTCAGCATGAACAAAATTCTGGTTAAAATGCAGCTTTCAACTAACAGCAGCATTTTAAACATGTGGCATTGTCATGAGTGGTAACTCTTTGCTATGTCAGTTTAGTAGTGTTATACTAAGAGTTAATTTAGTCAGCTGACTTTTCAGGACTGTGTGTCTGCCTCGGCCTTTCTGTAGCTACCTCATATCACTAAAGCAGTGGTGTAATAGCTATTTTTAGAGTAGA